TGGCTTATCTCATGACAATTGTGGCTATTTCTTTTCTTCCATTGTCGGTTTGTGCTTTTGCGCAATTTGGATTACTGAACGTCGCATGATCAAAAGCACGCTTCAAATCGCTTCGAAGAGAAAGGATACCGTTGGGTCTGGCATTTTAAGCAATAAGTACGGATAATGTGGTATTGCCATGAATTTTGCGATCTTTGGGCGTCCGAGGATCGCATGATATGACGAATCGAAGTCTGCGACCTCAAATTTGATAAACTACATTCGATAGTTCGCAGGAGTTCCAAAAGTGACGGGTAAAGTAACTTGTCCGAGTGGCATGGCTGCTTTGCGGGTACTATTCCGTAAAAAGGAGTGCTTGTTGGTGTAATCATCCCGGTGAGTTGTAGTCCCATCTTCCTTAGTGTTTACGAAAAGATGATGTTGAGTCCGGCTCCCCGTCGATTAGTACTTTGGTAGCGATCCATCTACGGCAATAGTTGGGTCTAAGACTAGTTGGTAATGGCTGCGTTCCCACGCTAGTCCATTGGTCTTCTCTTGAAAATTGGATTGGATATTGTGACCAATTGAGATATCTTGGTGTAGTGGGTTACTGCCGTCATGATAGTCCAAGTAGTGCTAGTTTTTCTTGATGTTTGCTTGTGCACTCTGGGGCCCTGAGAAGATCTTTGCTACCGTCCCCTAGGTTTTGAAATCCTTTGTTCTCGTGGTTGTCTTCATCTTTCTTGTGATTGTCCTCTTTGGTGTTCTCCTTACTATCTTTTCTTGTGTATCGATCATTGAAAGTGTAGCAGTTTCGATGGTGTGTCTCCGTTAGGGTGTAATGGGCAACGTATATTTTCAATGTCATCATATCTTACGGGTTTGGAAAACTTCTTTTTGATTTGTCGGCCATTGCCACGGTATTATGCGGTCTACGCTTTCTTTCTTGATATACGCTATTTCGATGATTTTGCCTATCCGGGTTGTCTTGGTTGCTTCTATCCAGGAACCTTTCTCGTGTTTTTTCTTCTGCGGTAATCATTTTTTCTCTTGTTAAATCGAATTCTTCATTGTTTCTCGGATTTTCTTTGCGAAGTCTTGAAATTGCCACCTAGCCATGATTAGTGAGAGAAAGCTTCAATTACTTCTCGTTCGGTGATGTCATGCACTTGAGCCCCTTGATTCACCGAATCGCCGATAGTAATTTACGAGACTTTTCGCCCCCCTTTTGCTTGAGTCCTTTCGGTTCAGCATGAGTGATCGGTGTGTGATGATACCGTGAAATTTTCACGAAAGCTCTTTGCAAATCTTCCCAAGTTACGATCGATCCACGGGTTCAATTTATCGAACCATTGGAGGGCATCGCTTCTAGTGCCATGGGAAAGAACAAGGTTTTGATATCATCGTCTCCTCCGGCTAGTTCAATTGATTGTGAATATATTCTGAGCCATTGTCTTGGTTCGGTTTTGCCATCATACTTGGAGTGGTTAGACGGTTTGAATTTGTGAGGTAATCGTCTTGATGCCAACTTTGTTTGCAAAAGCAGGGGAATCATCATGCGTTCCGCTTCCTTGAATTCGGATTCGGCTCCTTCTTACGGCCAAGTGTTGTTTTGATGGGAATAATTCTGCGAGAAATTATCTGGGTAGGCACTCTACTCCTGGTCTTCCTTGGTTGTTCAAATTGGTTGCCTCGACTATGTTCCCTCCTACTTTCTCCGTTATGGCTTCTGCCTGGTCCAAGTCTTTCAAAAGCGGACTTCCTTTGATTTTGATCTTCTTGCTTATGGGTTGTTGATCTGGCGGGTAGTCTTGATCGGGTTCTCTCTTCATGTGTTCTTGGGATCGTTGACCGGAGCAAGTCCTAGAGCTGTTCATACTTCTCTCCGTGATGTGAAGTTGCCTGAGTTCTTCTAATGCTTCTCGAATCTTATCGTAAAGGCGTACTCCTTTGTGCGTCTCTCTTGACCTCTTGTTGTGATTTTCTTTTGTCGTATTGACCAAATTCGACTCAGATATCTGGTCCAGCTTCTCTCTCTGTTTGTCGGTAGCGGTGTTGGCGCCCTTGCTTTAACTTGTTTTTCTTTCTCTAGCTTTGTCTCGACTCTCGGTTTCTCCATCGTAGCCACGGGCAAAGGGTGATATGTTGGACTCTGATTCATCGATGACGACATCGGGTGCTTACGGGGGGTTTAATGGTGACCGAGGGGCGTCGAACCATGAGCACTTCCGTGCGTGAGCCGTTCCGTTATTGGTGTTAGTTTTCATCTTGTCGGAGTTCTTGGCGACTTGATGGCGCCTCGGCGTCGTAGATTGAGTCTCCTTCTTGGTAAGGTAGAATAGTTGTTGTTGTTGTGCCGACTAGTTGGGTTCCGCTATCCTCGAGGAGCGGATCACGGCGATGGATGATCTGATCTTGCGATGTTATCGTTAATCTGAGACCCTCCCGAGCTCCATCGGTGGTATCCCAAGTGTTGGTTTGAAAGACCTTTCAAACTGTCCACGATAGGATTTTGTCGTGTTGTCGAGCCCAAATGGAAAAGAACTCGACCTTTTGAAAGAATTTCGAGGATAATCCGAGTTGTTTTGGGTTGTGCTCTGGAATCTTGCCAAAAGGAACTCGATTTCTTGAAAGCACTCGAATAAGACTTCATCTCGGATCACGGAGCTTGAATTCGAGTCGGATCGTGTAGCCGTGGAATCTTATTGAATCGGGTATTATGGGGCTGCGTGAATCTTACGATGAGCTGATCCGTCGTAGTTGTCGAAATAGAGGATTCTTCATGATGATCCGGATCTTTGAGGAGATGGCTTTGAAGCTTGCCGCAGCGGTTGTCGCCTCGCAGATCCATGAGCGAAGATGAAAATCGATCCCGTCGGGAAGATCATGTTATTGAGGTCCATCGAGGTCTCGGATGCAAAAGTCGCGAAGGTTCCCCTACTGCGCGCGCCGGTGTCGATGTTCACCATCGATAGCACGCCACGGAGTACCCGGGCGATATGTTCGAGCTTCGGCGTATCTTTGAACTTCGATGGTAAGCGCAAAGAGACGATCGATTTATCTGGTTCGAGCCCTCGATCGTGAGATCGAGTAACGACCCCACGTCCGATTGGCGTTTTGCCTTTTGCGTTGGATTGATTATGAAGTGTTATGTTGTACAATTGTTGTTCTCTCTTTCAGGAGCCCTGCCCTCCTTTATATTATCAGGAGGCCAGAGTCCTAGTCGGTTTACAATGAGATTTCCTAGTAGGATTACTTAATAGTTCTTCTATTTAAGATTACATGGGAAGAATCCTAGTTGAACTAGATCTTTTATCTCTCTTGCGGGGTATCCTGTAGGTCCCACATCGACACCCGCCCAGATAGGGCCTTGTATATATGGGCTAAAGAAAAAAAGATGCCTATAAGACGTAATTAGCCCAATTTGAGTGAAAACTCCTACAAAAGCCCTATGACAAGCTGTTGAATATCTAGTTGGTTTCTTCACTCAAGGCCTTGTTTAGATTGGGGTTAGGAATCAATATTTGGCACTGTAGCAATTTCGTTTGTATTTGATAATTATTGTCCAATCATGGCCTAACTAGGCTCAAAAGATTCGTCTCGTAATTTACAATCAAACTGTGTAATTAGTTATTTTTTTATCTACATTTAATACTCCATGCATGTGTCCAAAGATTTGATGTGATGGAGAGAGAGTGAAAAAACTTGCAATCTAGACAAGCCCAAGTGTTTTATTACGTGTGATATGACATGGTCAACTCGGGGCTTATGTCAGTTCTAGCCTTCTAGGTTTGCCCCCGCCTCCACAAAGGAAAACGTGATGAGATGATCCTAGGAGCCAGTATATGTGGCAGACGTCTTTAGTTGTCTTGTATGTAAGGATTAGCCTATAAAATGTTTGGAGACCCTCTCAATTATTAGGCTCTTAGGTATTGAATTAGAACTTAAACTAATAGGATCTGAAATTTAGCCTAAACATGATCACAAATTTAATCCTATGCGAAATATATCTTAGATACTAATCAGAGCCTATGGATGCCAACAGTGCCTACGAAGATGTGATGGAATTGAGGTAGATGAAGTAGGTCTATAGGTGTACTAATCTTCACGAATTGAGAGCTACAACTCTCTGTTGATGAATAGCTTGTGTAGATCTGCAGCCAAACATATTTCCCTGGACGTGGTGTGGACCTTCCTAGACCCTCTAGTGCTTCACGGTGGTTGTGATGCACGTGGTTGTTAGATCGGTTTGGTGTTGTGATTCACGTGGTTGTGATGCCAGGGGTGTCACTCCTTATATATACAATACTGTGGGCCAGGGGGCACACCCTAGACGACTTAGGGTTGCCGCCGATCACGGCAAGGCTTATTTGGTTGATAGAGACCTGACAGATGGACCAAAATTTAGGCTTTAAGTTAATCTCGTGATTAATCTCGAATTAGCCGAGATCACATTCCAATATTAGGATCTAATAATGGGATTGTTTTAGGGGAATAAGAGTCATCCTAGTGCATTATATTATCCACATAAGTATATAAAAGATTTAGACAAGTCACCACGTTTTCTCAAAATTAAAGGGCTAATTTTCACATAAATCAGAATATAGATTGGCAAGAGGGGGCAAAACAACAGGCTAATCGCGCTATTCATTTCACGCAGATTACCTTACACATTACTGCTAATTTATTTTTAAGTTTACGTGAAATACTCCGAGCTCACGCTCCAAATGTTCATATATACTCTTACGAACTGGGTACAGTTGCCATGCTCCATGTCTAAAGATAGTCTTTCCCGATCTCAAATTAGCCTCCTGAACTGACGAGGGGGAGCAATTCGCGGGCATTTCTTCCCCGGCAACCTCTTTAACGGTCCTAACGACTTGTCCCTTCCCGCCAGTTTCTCTTCGCCTCTCACTCTACCTTCGATCCACAGATACACAGGCCCGCGCTTCCCCTCCTCTCGCAATTCTCCCATCCACCGCACCGGAGCTCGCTCCACCACGGCCTCCGGCAGGAGACAGATGAAAGACAGCGACGGCGAGGGCGGCGCCGGCGGTGGCGTCGCCCGCTCGCACCCGTCCAACCTCCCACTGCCTGCTCCACAGTCCGACCCGAACCTCCAGTTCTCGGGCGGGACGGACGATGAGTCGTCGAACCGGAACAGCAGCTCCTCTGCCACCGGCGGCGCGAGCCCCGGGTACTACTCCGACTACCCGTCCAGCTTCAGCGGCGAGTGCTCACCGTACAACATGTCCCCCTGGAACCAGACCATGGCGTCCCCCTGGTCGCACCACAGCGAGGCGTCCGCCGCCGGGCTCGGAGGAGCCCCGCCCACGATGGCGCCCGGGACGAGCCTGATCAGCTCGCTGGTGAGGGAGGAAGGCCACATCTACTCGCTCGCCGCCAAGGGCGACACGCTCTACACCGGCTCGGACAGCAAGAACATCCGCGTGTGGCGCAAGCAGAAGGACTCCGGAGGGTTCAAGTCCTCGAGCGGCCTCGTGAAGGCGATCGTCATCTCCGGTGAGCGCATCTTCACGGGCCACCAGGACGGCAAGATCAGGGTGTGGAAGGTGTCGCCCAAGAACGGCATGCACAAGCGCGTGGGCAGCCTGCCCCGGCTGCGCGACTTCCTGCGCGGCTCGCTGAACCCGTCCAACTACGTGGAGGTGCGCAAGAACCGGTCGGCGCTGTGGATCCGGCACAGCGACGCCGTGTCGTGCCTGAGCCCGACGGACACGGCGCAGGGCTTCCTCTACTCCGGGTCCTGGGACCGCACCTTCAAGGTGTGGCGCATCAGCGACTCCAAGTGCCTCGAGTCGGTGGTGGCGCACGACGACAACGTGAACTCCATCGTGGCGGCGTTCGACGGGCTGGTGTTCACGGGCTCGGCGGACGGCACCGTCAAGGTGTGGCGGCGCGAGCAGCAGGGGAAGGGCACCAAGCACACGGCCGTGCAGACGCTGCTGAAGCAGGAGCACGCGGTGAACGCGCTCGCCGTGAGCGCCGTCGCGCCCGTGCTCTACTGCGGCTCCTCCGACGGGCTGGTCAACTTCTGGGAGGGCGAGCGCCACCTCGTCCACGGCGGCGTGCTGCGCGGGCACAAGAAGGCCGTGTTCTGCCTCGCCGCCGCCGGCGCGCTCCTGCTCAGCGGCTCCGCCGACAACACCATCTTCGTGTGGCGGCGCGACGGCGGGGTGCACGCGTGCCTCTCGGTCCTCACGGGCCACACCGAGCCCATCAGGTGCATCGCCGTCGTCGAGGACAACGGCGAGAACGGCAGCGAATCCAACGCTGGCGGCGCCTCCGCCGCCGGAGGGGGGTCGTCAGCGGCGTCACGGTGGATAGTGTACACCGGCAGCCTCGACAAGTCGATCAAGGTGTGGCGCGTGACCGACGAGGCGCCGGACCCGCTGCTCCTCGGCGCCGGCGACGCGCCCCAGATATTCGATCGGTATCCCGGCGACGCCTTCGGGGCCAGCGCCTCCACGACGTCGTTCCGCTGAGACTTGTCTGATCGATCACTTGCACCAAAATTACACGTCGTCGGTCTCACTCTCGCTTCACAAGAAAACGTCTTGGAGGGACTAACTTATATTAACAGAAGAATCTGCTGGGCATACGTCCTTATATATACTGTTGGAAATAGCTGAAATTGGAAGGTATGAAAAAAAAAATCTAATCTAGCTTGTGCTGGGCACGAGCTATGTAGTTTGGTCACCTTTTTGTGACAGGGATGGTGAATTTAGTTAGGTATATACATTTGCTTTTTGCAACTTTGCGTTGTTATAAGGAAAATTTTCAAGCATGTTTATGTGTTCTACTAGTTGAAAATGAATTGGTTTTGTGCTAAGGATGTATTCAATAAATAAATGTATCGATTCTAACCTCCAGTGGTCTTTAAAAAAAACTAAAACTTTTGATGAAATATCTACTGATATTGTATCGTTGTGTTTCCAGTTATAATGGCACTGTATGCTTGTTTTATGAGCCGTACTATTTCAGCGAACGAACAGTGTTTTTCTCTCGTAACAAATCAGCGAACAGTACTTTCAGCCATGCAAACAAGGCCATTGTCACTAGACCAGTAACCCATGCTCTTGCAGGGCTAGAATCTTATGAGAAGTACGTATTGAAAGTTCATGTTTAATACCTACACATAATTAAAAAAACAATGTGTATTATCTCTCTGTTTTCTGGCGAATTGATTGGAATTTGGACAGTATTACATTTGCGTTCCTGGGCTATAGCTTCGACATGCCAGGCTGCTGATCCTCTTTTTTTTTCACACACACGGCCCACGCGCGGCGCGGTGCGGTGAGACAAAGGCCGGCCTGACGGCACATGGCCCTGGGCCCTGGGCCCTGGGCCCGGCGGCAAGAATGCGCGCTCCCAGCGCCGAATATGAACACTGTTTTGCTGCCCGTTACATACGCATACGCGTTAATTATTGGGTTATATATGTACACTTACAATTTTGTTGCCAGAAACTCTGGTGCGGCGGGGTTATGGACAGGTGTTGTGGCAGAGACATCATACGTCACCGGTACCTGCTTCTTCGTTTCTGCTAATGGCGCCTAATAAGTTTCGTCGTAAACGATCGTGAATTATTTACTACTGACTGGTTTAATGTGAGAAAAAAATATTGTTTTAGCTTATAATATAATCGTATACGAGCAAACGAACAGACTTCATGTCGATCGAGCGAGCGAGGTTAATAAGCTGACACTGACACTTGACGCTGCACCAAACAGTGGAATAAACAAGCTTTAAGCCCTCGCCTTCCAACCCCATCCCTTGCAAGACACGCCGACGGCCCTTCGGTCCTGCGCATGCGCGCGCGCAAAGCTTCATCGGCTAGCTATGGTCACGTTTAGTTCGTCAGATTTCCTGAATTTGACACTATGCAAAAAGAAGATTCCCCGTCACATCAAACTTGCGGTACATGTATAGAGTATTAAATGTTAACGAAATTAAAAATTAATTGCATAGTTTGGTTGTACTTTGCGAGATGAACGTTTTGAGCCTAATTAGTCAACGATTGAACAATTATTATCAAATAAAAACAAAATGCTACAGTGTTTGAACAGTACTGCCGAATCCGGCCTCCAACTAAACACGGCCTAGGTCGTGGCTAGAATAGTGTATAGTAGACTTGTGCCGGCTACCCCGGTTTTGAATCCAAAGCGTCCAATAAACACTGACGCTACGACCGCTACCTGCATAGCATCGTTGCGACACAAAAGGCAAGTGGATGATTCCGTGGTCTCGTTCGGCTTGCTGAAACTTAGCTAAAATTGACTGAAAATACTGTTTTTGCTAAAATATTGTGAGAGAAAAACACTGTTCTAGCTGAAAAAAAGAAGCCGAACAAGTCAGATTTAAGGTAACCCAAACGGGGCACCGATAGTGCGCGCATAATGATGCGTGCCCAGCCCGGGGAAGAAAGATACTGCTGGCCGGCCCAGCCTCAACCCTCAAGGCAAATTCGACGCCTTCTTTTCCCCTGTCGACGCTCGCCGCCCGGCCGGCCGTGCCAATGCAAGTCCAAGTCGCATGCACCGTCTCTTCGCCGGCCGTGTCCCTACGCGCTGGCTCTCCCCAACACAGGTGCATGTCCGCCCGTCCGTCGTCCGTGTCTCGCAGTCGCAGTTCTCTCGCCCCGCCAACTGCCCGCGGGCATTCTCATTCGTTCACTTTGCGTTTCGCAGTTCTCGCCGACGCCGACGCTAAGGGACAACGATACGAGCACAGCGAGAGCATGGAGCGAGCCCTCCCTCACGTGGCTGCGAAAGGTAGCGAGACGTTTTCCCCGCTGTGGTCAGTGAGACAATTCGGCGCCTAATAATATCATCAGCATATGACACTGTCTAGGAGCTAGATATATACGACGACGTTGGCAGTTGGCAGTTGATCCAGAATTCAGGCAGCCAACCGAAAACCTGGTGCCTCTAGCTAGCTAGTACTAGTACTGGTAGACAGCGCTTCGCTTTCGGCCCCATGGCGCATGCATGCCAGCCGTCGTCGGCCGACGACACCAAACATTCCAAGCGGTTTTTTCCGAACACAAAAGGACGAGTATCAAATCGGATTCCGTCTTATCTTATACCGCTAGCAATGCTTAGGCCTGAGTGCTCTGGCTATAGCATAACCCACTCCTCCACTTAATCATCATTTTTTTTATACACGATGCAAATGCCATGCGTACACACTCACCTCCATATAACCATAAACATCTCTAATAGACTAAAAAACACATTTTGAGCTTGAAAAATCACCACCACAGGTGTTTGCTATTGACGGACAGGGTTTTCAATTCCGTTATTAGAATTTTTTTCGGCTACCCACAAAATTACCAGAATATGGCTGAATTTTCGCCGACTTTTTAAAGACTTGAACATGAAGTATGACTTTTCTAAAATTTTAGATCTACACACCATGATTTATGGCTACACATATATTGAGTAGAAGAATATGCAACATAAATAATAAAGAATATGAGTCTAAAGTTACTCCCTCCATCCCAAAATAAGCGACACTTTAGCTCTGGACAAGCATTTGTCTAAATTTGTAGATAAAAGATCACTTATTTTGGAATGGAAGAAGTATATATTTACAATAAAGCATGTGTATTAGTGCACTAAGAAGTTTTAGATTTTTCTTTCGGTCACCCTCAAAATTACCGTGATTCGTGAAATTTTGTCAAAATTTTGAACCATGCTGATGCGCACTTGCCTCGGACTTGGTGGATTTCTTGTGTGTTGTTGCGGAGATTTGAAAGTGATAATTGGAACAGTAATAATAAATAAATGACTGAAGTGAATGTGAAGCAGTTTTTTTAGAGCTCAAAGGAATATGTAGTTTTTTTGGCATCAAAACTTATCCACAGTAGGTGACTTATACACCTTATTATCTCATAAGAATTTTTGGCATCAAAACTATAATTGGGATACACGTCAATCATTGTTTCCAGAAGCGTTTATAATGAAAAATACCGAATGAAGCCTCACGAACAACTCTTACACCATGTTTGGATGTAGATATTGAGCCTCTGGATTTGGTATTGGTATTGTGAACCTATCAATTCCACTATTTGGATGGCTAATAATTTGGAATTGGAATTCCAACCGAATATCAATGGGTATTGGCTTATACCTGCGCCTCATCATCTCCAATACCGAGCCCGAGGCCTTCGTATTGTGCGGCATTCAGAAGCGCGCCTGACGACGGAAACCCCGACGCCCAGCTGCGCCTTCCTTGCCATGACCACTGAGGCCCCGACTCCTTCCCCGGCGCCACGACGCATGGGGGGCCGGCGCGAGGGCGCCACGCGCCGCACTTCCGGTGCCTGCCGCCGCAAGACGGCGCCGACGACGCCAGCGACCGCGATGTGCAGGCCGCTCCCCGATGCGCCGCTTCTTCCCCGACGTCGGCGCAACCCTTCTTCTCCATGGCTGGCGCTGCCTCTTCTAGTCCATGGCCGGTTGGGCCCTTCTTCTCCATGGCCGGCGTGCCCCTTCTTCTCCATGGCCGGCGTGCCTCTTCTTCTCCTTGCCGTGGCCCACCGAGATCCGCCCCCATGGCTGGGATCGAGCTCCCCCATGGCCGCGGCTGCCGAGCCCGAGATCCACCGCCATGGCCATGGTTGAGCTCGCCCTGCCATGGCCCACCGTGGTGGCTGCTGCCAACCTCTATCCACCATGACCAGTATCAAGCTACCCAGCGTTTCAATTCCATGCTTTTGCATCCAAACAGAAACGGATTTGAGCTACTTGCTAGGATTCCAAAACCCAATTCAATGGTCATCCAAATAATAATATTCGAATTGTGGCCATTTCAATACCATGGCTACTTTGGTATTGAACCCAATTCAATTCCAACCCCTCCAATATCTACATCCAAACGGACCCTTAATTGCCTTTGCATTGTGCAGCATAGTACCATGTTGCAACTTGCAAGTACAATATGGTAATCCAAAGTAGCAAAATTACCATATGTATATGTAGAATTGAAACATATAACTGACTCCAAGACTCAACTAGAAAAGAAAGAAAAGAAACCGACTCCAAGCTGATCCAAGTCAACAAAATGGATGTAGTGATAATTTGACAGATAGAAAAGGACCCGTAAGGTCATAGAGCTAATCCGATCATTGTTTTCTTACCTTGACATAAGAAGGAAAACCGTAATGCTCCATATAGGGCGTTCGTCCGTCCGGACGGACCCGTCCGCACTGCGCGCCGCATGCCCATGCGTCCTGTCCGTGATACCGTTCTTTTAATTACTGTGATCCTTCCTCCCCACTCATCCACACTTATCCTCTCTCTCTCTCTCTCTCGAGCGCGTCCTCCTCCACACATCGCCGTCGCCCCGTGGCTCGCGCTCCTCTCGCCCCCCCCATTGCGCGTGCCGCGCCGCTCCCTTCCTAGCCGGTGGCTGCGCCCTCACCCACCCCGGCACGCGCCCTCACCCACTCTGGTGTTCTCCCCCCACCATGGCATCCTCC